CGCTTCGATCCGGTTTCTCAACAGCGTGGGCTCTGCCCTGCGGTTCCACTACGGAACGCGCCTGTGAGCTGCATCTCAAGGCGGACAGTATCGCCTGCGGAAGCGTTACGGGCGGCATCGTGTGCGAGCGCTTAACGAGAGGGCAGAAGGCGCCGCGGCGGCGTTTGGTCCGCTCCGAGCAGGCAGGCAGAGGCAGGGCGGGCAGGCAGCGGAAGAGAAAGAGGTGCCCGGGGATAAGTTGCACAGACGAGAGGATGCACAGATGTTTAACCGGATTAATCAAGCTAGGATTTGCAAAATCCTCGGTGGAAACACCAAAGCGCTGCGCCGGTACCCCACCGCTTGCCTTAATTATGCCTGTCATTTGGCCCTCTATAATGGAAGCCTCCGCAGAGAGCAAAAATGACTTCTTTAAAACGAAATGCGAACCGAAGGCAGTACGTGTTAAATCTATCTGGGCTCTCCGAGCTGCCATGTTAAACAAGAGATGCAGAGTGCAAAACCACCCCTCAGGAACCACTGCAGAAACTGCCACAACCTGAGAAACTAAACCGCTCTGACTCACGGGGGGGGGAATGTCCAGAATAGCGTGTCCTCCGTGCAAACCCGCGGCTCTAGATTCTCATGATAACAGGGTGTCCATCTAACATCACATGCATGCAATACTATTTGTGGAACTTCAAACACAGTGGCTCTTTCCTTTCAAATGGTTTTCCATTTCAACTAGAAAAAGAGTGTTTTAAAGTTGGTAATACCCCTATAAAGGAATCACTTTCGAACAAACTGAGTGCCTTCCCTACAAATGGATTTCAGTGGGATGTATCAAATATCTGCCTCTTTCTGAGGCTTTCCCCCCACCACTTTAAATGAGCTGTCTCTCAGATAGAACTCAAAATATCATAGAAAACACCACCACCTAACAGATTCAGGCAAAGAAACAAGAAAACAACACATCCGCTTGCAGCTACAAGAAAAACTGGAATAGATGTAAAGCACTTACCAAAAACTGGATGCAGTCAAAGCACTTGTCCTAAAAAAAGGTCATTTTGATTTCTAAGAACCACTGATCATCACAACTTCTGCGTTAAATGCTGTTCAAAGCGTAATTCACCAACAACATATTGCCATTGATAGCTAGTAGAAACGCAGCTTTATTTCTGACTCAGGGGGAAGAGTTCCTCTGAGCAATTAAAATACTCTGTCCTCTATTGCCTAGTTTTTCTCTAATAATGTCACATGCACTTACCTCGTTTAACTTACCAGATCAAGCAAGATCACAGCTAGAGGTGGAATGGCAATATGTTAGCTTTCATTTTTAATTCCAGATGCCTTTTTCTTTAAAAAAAGGTCCTTCCTTCACCATTATAAGAAGGACTGAACAGCAAATCCTTCACTACCTATATTTGTTGTGTAAATACACGTTTTATTTTTCTCCTGGTGACCACAAATCCTTGCCATTTTGGATTGTGCTAACTCCCATTTTTCCCAGCCATGAGTCAACCAAGAGTTGCATGATTCACCCTTGCATGGACATAATCTCTAGGGAAGTCATTAAGTGCATGCTGATCAGTCTTGTACAGAAATCAAACACCAGTGGGGCACCTGTAAATATTTCTTTTGCCCTTCTTGGGTCACATTCACAGCTAGATAAGGATTTATATACAGTATTAGTTAAACAGTTAATATCCACATAGCCTTGCTTTATGCCAGCTCACATACGTATGCAGCCACATCCACAAGCTGTCCCTGCCACCTACAAATCTTTTTCTCCGTTCTTTATCCCTCTCTCTCTGCCAAGCTCCCCCAGGGGGACCCAAGTTGGGCCAATTACCAAAAATCAAATACAGAAGAAAAACAGAAAAAGAAACAAGAATATTAGCTGGCATTAATTTCTTCAGCATAAATAAAATTCTACTATAACTTGAGATTTCCTTATTCAGCAATTCTGATGCAAATAATTTTCTATACACAGAAGTCAAAAGAAACTGATTGTAGAATTAAGATGGAAAGATCCTGCTAATGAAGGAGAATGAGGGGACATAAGTGTGAACATCGCGCCTTTCCCTAAAGCATTTGTTCCATCAAAGTACGCTAGGAAGATATAGTCCATGAAAACAGGTTTGGTAAAGAGGTGGCATTTGAACTAAAGGTGCTCGTAAGATTTTTTTTCTTAACAAAGCAATTATAGAAATTCACATTTAATAATAATTCTCACAGGAACGAACCCAAGGTGTTACCCTCTACAGAAACAAGAAAAATTCAATTGGCCTTAAATTTGTTTCTTTCCTTTTTTTACACTTCCTTTCCTTGTTTCACACTTCCTTTCCATTTTTCATAGAAGTAGTGCAGAAGGGATTTTATTAGGGATTCCAGAGCAGCAGCTTGGAGACTTCAGGAAGGACAACAGCCCTTCCCTGCACGGCCTCTGAATCCTGAGCTCTCCGATCGCGTATGTTCTGGGCCAGGACTCTACAGGCAAAGCATACAGCCTAAGTGAATTAGAAGGCTTTCTATCATTTTTGAATGACTGATGCTCTGAAAAGCTTTAAGGCCTTCTGAAGGGGGAGCCTTCTTCAGAGTTAGATCCCCACACACGCAGCCCAAAGATGAGTATACAAGTGAGAGAAAGGTCTTAAAAGATTTATGAAAGGATTATTCTTTCAATACAAAAACAATTAGAAAGTTCTTAGTCCCTGCCTCATATGGCAGCCAGCAGATTTAGAGGTAAGATGGACAGTGTAATGATCAGACACAAGGTTATCTCCTACCAGGCTGAAGCCGTGCTTGTAGACTTCCTCTAAGCAGATGATCATAGATGGGACAAATGATCCAATGTATGTTCAGCCTTAGCCCAGCTCTAAAGTGGAGATACTAGTTTTCTACCCCACAGGAATGCTGCGAGGAGAAAAACTGTTCTGCAGTTGCTCTGAGAACAATAGTTATGAGGGCCATATAAAGCACCAAGACAGAGATTTCCGAGAAACAGCTATTTAAAGTTACAAAGTGGCAAAGATGATTTGTAGGGTGCATAATGTGAACATGCAACAGTCCATTCTGCATGTCAGGAATTTTTTTTGTTCTGTGTACAACGTAGTATTCCTTCCCTCTTACCCAGCCATATATAGAGTATGCTGGGCACAACAGCTTCTTCAAAATCCAGTATCAGAACCCACATCCATCTTCAGAACAGAAATTGCCCAAATAGGTTGCGCAGGAGAGTGTCTCCTTGATTCAAAAAGGAAGAGCTACTGTCATGCTGTATTTAAAGATGGGGCTAGAAAGCAATGGGATGAAAACAGAGAAGAGCAAACAATAACTCTGCATTGAACTATTCTTATAACTTATAAAATTATTTGAAAGGCTCTTTTAAGCAGTCTCAGTACCTTCTAAATGATCTAGGGTTTTCATTGGGCCTACTGCATAAGTTATCTAGCTATCTAATTGCAGTAGATTATATTCACACTATTTTGTCAGTAATGCCTCTTACTATAAAATAAGAAGGTAAATTATTCAAAAGTGGAAAAGAAATGTATTTATCCCCAGAAATTAAGGCTCACAATGCAAATGTGATTCTTACCAGGGCCAGCTCAGAGAAACAGTGCCAGGGATCTTTATTACTTTGCTGAAAGGTATTTTTTTCGCAGAGATTTAAGGTTTTGCACCTCCGCCAACAGAGAAGGCTTCCCATAAGAATCAGCACTTTCTTGCACTGAAAAATACGGGATTTTTTTTTTGTCACTGATTTAAATAAATGGGATCTAAACACAGTGCAATCTTTGCATGAAGACTTCGACCTTCCTTTTTTCAAAGGCTAACATGTCAATAATTCTGGTTTCTGTCTAGTGTCTGTTTCCTTCGGAGCATCGAAACCTAAAGTGATAGCCTGATTAGTCCTGGGTACATTAAAAGAATCATCATGCATGAATAACATCATAATGCTCTTAACTTCTGTCATTTCTGACAATACTGCATTGTCCGTCCATACACAGTATAATAGAAATGTTGGGCATTTGCTGGTGTTGCATGACTACAATATATTTTGGGTTTTGATCAAATATTGATGATAGCAATTTTTTCTCATATTTCAGGGCTGCTCTGTTTAGAATTGCTCTCAAAGTTATTTTTGATTCTT